TCCTATCACGTACCACTTGTGTCCCCATCCCACCCCCTATAACATATGTAAGAACCATGCGCTATCGTTGCTGTGACTCGAGCTATGAATTTCGTGACAAACAGACGCACACACACACACAGACATACTTAGCGAATTATATATAGTAGGATCTCGGCCTCCTTTTTATGCTGTTTTATAATCAGGCTTAACATCTTCAATAATCCCCCCCCCCTCAATAGTCCCATTATTGTAGGGAACATATGGTTTTGAGAATTCGACAAATCACAAAGACTTAAAACATGAACGATTCCTGATAAATGGAGAGAAATGGGTTTCATCCGTGCTGTAACGTGGCGAAGAAGCGCGTCACACTGTCGTCGATGTTTAAAATATTCCGTGCTTAAAGGCATGCCCCAGGATCACATTGGTGTGGCTCTTGCACACGAATGCGAATGTATTGGTGCGAAATGGGCCGGCAGTAAAGAAAAAAGGAAAAGAATCCGTCGAAAACGCTTAGGTTAAGGGCTCACTCACCTTCCTAATCGGCTGTGCTAAGGGAATGAGAGACTAAGCGCGGAGAGTATGGGGCGAGAGCGCTACAGATGAGAGAGCGCCAGACAACAGCCTGATAAGAGAAAAAATCTGCAGCTTCAGCAGCTTACTTTGCAAGGCCCAAGCGCTCTTGTCGGTTGGTTTCCACGCCACATTTGTGATTGTCCTCTAGGGGTCTATACTACAGACCGAAGAGAAGCGTTCGCACAACCTCTGCCTGGAGTTGTGCCTTTAATCGTGAGGCAGGATAAGTTGAGGTATATTTGCATGGTACTGCTGCGGAAGCCTGCAAAGCATTCTAATCACCATCGGTATGATTAGTCTAAGAAAAGATGGGAATGGGGGAATGGGGTAGAATGAGTTACGAATCCTCGGTGAGACTGAGGTCTCCAAAATCATGGAAGGATGGTAGTAGTTTGGAAACGAGCCATCACGCCGGCAGGCAAATAATTCAAATTCTTCGCTCGTGTGTTCACGCAGCAAGGCACTAGTTCATTGCTCTGCAATCAAAAATTGGCTCAGCCAGATGAATTTAGGCCTTGACTACTAATTTATCTTCTAAAAGAGGTGTTTTGAAGCTCGCTTATGTAATCAAAATTTGTCATAGCGTACGCCTGGAGCACATCGAATCCTTGAAAGGTTTAACAAGCTTCTATTCTTTTGGAGTATTCCATACCTCCACCCATTTTCTCTACTCCTAAGCATGTGGCGTATTAGTGCTGTGGGACGCTAGGTTTCTGGGGTGTTTTTATCTAGTTATTCCTGAGTGTTTATCTCATTTTATTCTTTCACTCAGTTTGACGGTTCTGAATGAAATCCAACAGCTATAAGTCGAGGTTTCAAGTTAGATGAACCAATAATTTCATTTTGGCGATAAAAAAAGCATAAATGAAGCCGAACATATGGTTTGAAATCTGTTCAGCTCTAATCTCCATCTGACTATGTTTTTCTTGACCTTTCATTGAACGAATTGTTTGCAAATCGCACTCATTTCCATGCGCTTGACGTAATGCCGTTCGATATCAGTGACTCATTTTGACTAAAAGTGGCATTGCTGTGAATGATTTTTCATAGGAAAAAATTCCTTTCACCTTTACCATCGACTGGTTGAGTTTAAACTACGTTTGAACAAGGCGATTTCCATGAGCTGGTTTTCTTCAGGTGCTACTCAACAGTCGGGTATTTCTGGCTCGCATAATCACGGTCAGCATCAACAAGGCGGTGTGATGGGACAGGGTGTTCAACCGAGACGCGGAGTTTCGCAGCGCGGGGGGCCGCCGCCTGTCGATTCAGCGACATCAATTCAAAATGCGCCACACATGCGTCTGTCGCCACAGCAGGTAGGTTGGCTGTACACGGTTCCCTTCTTGGTCACTGGAGGGTAAGGCTAGGCAGCTGTCCTGATTGTTTCTTATTGATGGTCTGCTTTAGGAATTACCTCTCCGTATAGTAATCGACTCAAAACATGTCGGTGCGATCATCGGAACGGGAGGCAATAATGTTAGGGAAATCACAAAGGAATCGAAAGCTCGCGTCGTTGTGGACGTGCAGCGCACAGTTAAGGATCAGCAGGGACACAGTGAGAAGGTAAATTTTCGTATCTCCCTCCCTCTGGTCGTAGGAATATTAATTGCTACCATTCTGTTTATAGATAATCTCAATACTTGGCCATTTGGAGAATTGCTCAAAAGCGTGCGTTAAAATTCTTGAAGTTGTTCAGCGTGAAAATGAAAAGGACGAAAATAGAGAGTAAGTAGCTCACTGGAGCCTCCGAAAAGCTCTGTTTTGCTTTCTGTCTTGGTGAACTTTCGTATCCATGTCATCCGTTCATGTTTAGCAACAGTGAGATCGAGCTAAAAATCAGAGCTCATAACCAGCTAGTGGGACGTCTAATTGGAAAGCAAGGCGCAACTATCAAAAGAATCATGCAGGATACTGGAACAACCATATTTGTTTCGAAGTGAGTCTTTGATTTTTTTCATTTGTCGTTGGGGTTAGGAATTTTAATGTCATTACAGTGGCCCTTGTGATAGATCGAGCCTTTGTTCACCATTTGATGTGCAGCTTGCATTTGAAAACACTTTACTTAATAAGCTTCGTAATCGGTTTTCCTTAAAAATTTGACAGGAAGCAGCTTGCGAATCGTATTCGTGACCTGTGACATTTTTTGATTTGTTAGGTCAGAAATCAGTAGACAATTGAAGGGAGAAATCTTCTGCACAGCTATTTGAGTATCTTTTTCCAAAATGTGTAGTTACGGTTGATATAGAGTTACAAATTAATGTAACTGTAAATAGAGTGGCTCGTGAAATTGGAATGTGCTTCAACTTTTGCAACTTTTGGGAGCTATGATTTCTTTCTATAAAGACTGGCTTCCGTGATGGATGTTCTACTGATAAAATTT